TTAAGCAGCGTAAACGACTGATAAGCATAAGCATAACTAGCGTTGGGCAACGAACAGCGGGGACTCTAGAGATTTGTTGAGTATTTTCAAAGAATTAACTTATTGTAAATTCTAGGCATAACATACGTTGAAAAAATTGACTGCACTTATCAGATTTCGTTTATGGCAAACAAAGTTGTCACAAAGTTTATCTCTAGGACAACAGTCTGCCTATGTTTTAACCTAACAGTTTGCCTGTTTTTTTTTTTAATATAACATCTATCTCAACCAGGGATTTGATAAAAAAACTGCCTTAATAACTCAAATTCTAATTTTTACCAACCTGCTTGTACCTAACTGATTATTTTTCTCCCTCAAAAGTCAAGACTGATTACACTTATTCGATAGGCACTAGAGCGTGTACTATTATACCAAATATTGGGTTAACCTATAATTTCTTTTCGCGGATCCCCTAAGAGAACAACACGACCCACGCCTACTGGCTGCCTCGTGGCAAAGACTCACCAGCTCATCCAAAGCCCAAGATTCTACTTAGAAAATTATACTCTATGTTTTGTGAGATTGACTGGACATGCTATTTTGGAACTGCTTGACAAGGCAGGCAATCAATGTTGGCGTCAATGAGGAACGAATGCGGAAGCTGGCCGCATCGACGCGCAAGAAACGTCCAAAGCGACTCAGTGTCGTCCTTCTCCAAGATAACGCTCGACCTCACATTGCAAGGTCAATTCGCCACTTTTTAGAGAAACTGGGCTGGACCATTATCCACATTTACTGTATATTTCGATATTTCTGCATCGGATTATCACCTCTTCCGCATCCTGAAGTAGCATCTCGGGATAAAAATTCATAACCTGTAACCAACTCAAAAGTGACCGTGACCGCACCAACTTCTTTCGTAGCCAGTTTCATTCCTTCTGAGAGGAAGGCATCCAGACTTTGTCCAGCATATGGTTGCATATTACTCATCATGAAGGTGATTATATCGTTAGATTAATTCATTTGTTTGTATATACTGGACTAGCAAAGGTGTTGAAATGCGAGAGAGATTAAAGGTTAACCCAATAATTTCCATTCAATCTGTATTGACGTGAGCCGACACATAAATCAGGACGAATGCAACACTTTTTTGATTTGGACTGTTTCATTTCCGTTTTCCCACATCCCCGTCATCGATGAAGGCTTTCGGATATGCGTGTGGATTGGCAGCTTCCCGATAATTTTCTTATTCACAAATTTATTCATGAGTGGAAGAATGAAGATTTTCTCTGGAATCCTGATATGGTTGGGTATTCATAGGTTTTCACCGCAGAATAACTCCAACTCTTGCAGATACGAAGAAACTTTTCCCAGCTGGTTCGTATCCAATTCTCAGCACCGGAGGGTTAAAGGCTTGGGTGATCCGAAGCGTGATCGAAATATCGACTTTGCACTTAAAATTGAACGACAGTCCTAGTCACTATACTTCTAATCTCCTTTACCATAAGCTAGATAAAGAATGTATGCAGTAAACATTCACAAGTAATCCGGATTTAAATTTGGTGACATGGTACCTGTAAGGAGGTGGGGCGTGTTTTGGTGGAAAAATAACGTCATAGTTAGGCGGGGCTGGCTGGAAGTCGTTCTTGTTCGAGGTTCGTAGCGTCCGATTGTGGCGTCCGGGTCGCATCTCTCTAAGTAAGGCGTCGATCCTCGCATTCTTGAAAAAAAAAGCCGAAGATGTTGGTTAGTGAAAAAGTAGTTGCGGTTAGAGATCGTGAAATAAAAATGGGTTGTAAGGCAGCAGAGGAACTTGCAGCATCATTAACGCATTTGGCCCTTATTGCTAACGAACATAGAGTGCAATAAAGGTTCAAAAGGTTTTGTGATGAGACACATTTTGAGAATGCATAAATCGCAAATAGTTCTGTGCCACCCTCATCAAGATCATGGGAAAACAATCGCCAAACTAGTCCTCTTAGAACTACATGAAGCTTTGCAGAAGAACAGAAGAACTCAACGCCAACCATTCTGTCATTTTCCACATTCAAAGCAGATTACAGAAACAAGTGCGCTTTCAGCACAGTCTCAAACCGCAACTACTTTTCACCAAACAAATAAATGAAATTTCACTGTATCAGGAAGGAGTATAAGACATTATAGATATTACAAGTGGAAATAAGAGCTTTTTCAAAGAAACCAAAGTAATCGCGTTGGGACAAACCTCTATCAGCGAATGGTCACTTTGCGAGGTCCGCATGCGTCGAACAGTGAAGCTATCCATCTGGAAACAGACTTTACGACGAAAGCATTTTTTATTGAAAAAGATAATGAAACTTGAAGATATAGTACACTTTCGACTTGAGCACTTAGAAACGTAAAGAAATTCCATAAAACTATGAACAGTTGTCGATATAGTTGAGAAAATTAGCTGCTGTGTACAACTTTTAGGATGCTAGCAAAGATCACAAGGAATGCTTTCTTGGAAACGCATTGCTCCTTCTGCTTAGGAGTTTCTCTACCCGGCTTCTTTTTTTTTTTTGCAGCACCATTTTTTGCAGATTTCTATGCAATAAACTGGGAAGCAATGAAAACTACTGCTTTCATTCCACTGTCAGTGAAATGATATCTAGATTATGGCTGAGATTCTCATAGATGAACTCACTTAACTGTATCATAAAAAAAGAACTAAAGAGGGAAAACGCCACACATGCTTCTGCAGCCATCTTCAAAAATCCGTTTAAGTTGAGTATTTCAACATTTTTACAAAAAAGCTCCAGATGATCCACCACAGCGGGAGACCGCCTACCTTAGTCCTATAAACGCCTGACATAGGATTCCCAGGAGCTTAGGCCAAAAAAGAACCTCTCGAACAAGCAATGTAATGCTTGAGTCAAAAAGGAATTCACTGAGATTTCCTTTCAAGATGGACCGTTAAGGGATACAACATCAGATAAGAATTGCACTGAAGATTCCTGAATTTAGCCTTGATTGTTCCACGGTTCACAACTATTGATTCACTTGAAAATTTTTGGCAATGAAATACATCTTTTTCTGCTAATTTAAAATCATAATACTGCTTTAGAGAACTAAAACAGAGCAAAAGAAAACACCAGAAAGCTCAGTAATCAAAGTTACCCACAATGGGCTGCGGGAAAGACTACCACAACAGATGACGCCAGTGGACGAGGCTTTGGCTCGGAGAAAAACTCAACTGATGTCAGCGGCGGTGACGGCAAGAACTCTTCGTGAAGGTCATTTTCAGTGCAGCACGAACGGTAACGTTCTTCACCAATGCACTGAAAGAAGAACAGCAATCTGCTTCACGTGATAATTCACATCCATCAATGGTTGCACGCTAAACACACTGCAGAATGATAGAGTGTTTTGTAAGATCTGAGAAAGTTTCTTCAAAAAAGAAAAAAGCGCAGACGAGAAAATGTTGAACGACTAAGTCAGAACTTCGCTAAAATGGGGGCGAAATATCAAGACTTCAATAAAAAAGTAGGAAAATATTCATATACAAGGCTTGAGAAAGAGATGACAAGGAGTTTAACATTGCGGTAATAACATGAGAGTTCTCAAAAAACAGCTCAATGACACGCAAGGCTATCACCGAGGCGGTCGCTATCCCATTTCCTCGATATGGCTAGACCATAAAACGCATTCTTTGCTGTTATGGAACTTTAGTCAACTTCAAAAGATTAACAGCTGGTACAGTTCGGAAAGGACCGTGACAGAGTGTGTAGTGATGCATGCTATCAGAAGGCATAATAGTGGTTCGACCTTCTGTTACGACACTCCTTTGTAGTCAATCGGGAACGCTTTCGTTCGCTTACCTTCAAGATTACAAGCAGACGAACTGACCAGAAATCCATGATATTCATGAAGAAAAATTTCTTGAGCAGCAGTCAAAATAACGCGAGATGCTGGAAAAATTCAGAGCCGATGATTGCGAGGAAACGAATAGAACAGAAGTACTGGAATTGGTACAGTAAAACGGTTAATGAATCGTGTAAAATAAAAAATGATGATAATTAATAAGAAACCGGTTGTGTCCATAGGCTTATTCCGTACAATGAAATGTCATGATAGTTCTAATAAATGTATATGCAAACTGGTGATAACCAAAATTATTAAGTCTTCTCATAAATCATGATTTTCTTCTTCAAGCAAAACACGAGGTGTTACATTACACTTTATTTCACAGCTTCTCATAAGGTTTGGCACTAGAACAATAAGCACCAAATCTGTCAACCAGCGGTAATCAAAATTGCTTAACAACACTATTCAAAGTATGCGCCATCAGCCTACACAGATTTTTGCCATCTCTCAGGTAACAAGTCGATACCACTTTGAGCAGAATTATCTGCTTTTGGTGTAAAATCTGCCCGTACTTGTTGCATCATGGCCGCTCAACGAAACCTTTATCGCATTTTGGCGCTTTACGAGTACGAAATGAGACGTGATGCAGAGACCGCCTTCGAGAACATCAACTGTGTTTAGACTCAAGGCGAACGGTGTTCAAGCGAAATCTGTACCGCTGCACTCAGGCCCTGTCACGTCGATGTCGCCGCTATCTCATTCTATCAAGACAATGCGAAGCTGAATGCCGCCAAACTGACAAAGAGGAAGTTGACCGAACTGAGCTACGAGCTGCTGGATCATCAGCCGTACAGTCTTGACATGTCACCGGCTGACTATCAGATCTACAAGTGGCTGGGGACTGAGCAAGAAGAAATTCCAAGACAATTATTTGCGTAGGAGATTGAGAACTTTTTTGAGTCCACGGAAGACGTGTTCTAGGATCGCGGCATTCACTTGTTACCTGAGAGATGGCAAAAATGTGTTCAGACTATTGCTGCATGATCAATCAGAATTCATTTTGACCGTCTTCAGCGGTGGTAAGATGTTATAACATACCTAATGATAAAGGGTGATGTGCAAAAACACTTGCGTCAGCTGAGATTTGAACTCAGACTTCACCTTATTGCAGCGTAGAAAGAGTGGTGAGAAAACAGGCGCCGGTAGTGCAACGGTTCAGCATGCGCCCGGATAGGGTAAGATCTGGGTTCGAATCCCAGCTGATGCAAATGTTTTTGTTCATCACTCTTTATCATTGGGTATAATGGCGCATACTGTAAATAGTGCTGTTGAGAACTTTTAGTTTCAACTTTATTTTAGGAATTTATTCAAAATAATTAGAAAGAAAAGAAATAATTTAAATTACTCCTGGTTAGTGCATTTGGTGATTATTACCCTAGTGACAAGGATTATCACAATGAACAGCTGGCAGGACCCATGTAGTGAACATAATGGAAGGAAGAAAAAAGGAAACGTGAGGTGTCAGAGGAGCGCAAATCTAAAAACGGCAATAACAAGTATGAATAGTCTCGTCACTCCGAATATGATAGACGATTCCTTAAAATTATTAAAATAGGAGGTAGTTACATCTAACCACTTCATGCTTCAGGTATACGAAGATCAAAGTTGAAAGACCAGAAGATAGAATACCACTTCTGCCATGCAACATAAATGACATAATATCAACAAAACAGCTAACTCATCGGCCCATAACGGTGTTTCTCAAGGTCTCTGTAGGGATACATTTGAATCCACGGCATTTGATAACCAGAATGCAAATTTTTCTGATAATATTGGCTTCCTATAAACTCCTGGAAATCCATGACATGTGATTGAAAAATGGAGATTTAGCCCACCTTGGGCCAATTTTGCCTACAAAACGCCATTGTCCATGTTTGCAAGATCCGCATTTTTCTTGCTCATAAAAGCAGTTTAGTAAGGGACTCGAAACGAGTGAACTCAAATATGTTGAAGAATTTTCTAAAAAAGAACACCGGTGCTTTTCATGTTCGACGCTCATCCGCAGTCAGATCAGTTTTGTTAACGCTGTGCGTCTTCCGTCAAAACCGGAGGATCAAAACTGAGAAGCAAAAGAAATTGAGTAATAAGTGGATAGCAAAGTTTGTAGTCGAAAACATCCGAAATGTCTCATTGTTTGCAGTAGCACTCAATAACTTATCGTATCATTATAGTTGCGTCTCTTTATGGTACTCAACACCACTATAAGACAACAAGATTGCATCAAGGAGCAGGATCTTATTAGACAGAACAAAATTTCCAGCCAAAAGTCCATCCAAAAAAAGATAGTACTTGGAATTTCTTTCTTTGCTGCTAATAATCTGGTCGTATAAGCTGGCAAATCTTCATATAATCTAAATGGACCAGATTTTACCTACAATGACAGTTGGCAAACCTCTAACAGGACAACTCCGAGACTTCAGAGAGAGACAATCTTGCCTAAAGATGAAATTACTAGTGAAGTGAATTCTGTAGTGCGATCTAACAATTCTTCATCCAAACGAGGCATTTGATTATTTAGGTGGAGAACAACCGTGCAGAGTTCACATGTATTTCCAACACACTTCTTATATCGAGATATGTCTCGCAAAGTGAGCGAGATCACGCGTGATAATAAGGCATTTCTTCAAACGATTCATGTTATCATTCATAGCATTCGTCCAGAATAATTTGAAGATTGCACGTGCTGAGTTTTATATCTTTATGCAAGATTTGTGATATCTTGATTTCTACTTATAAATAATCTCCCCTATGTGCCTGTGTCCTATGTAAGCTTATTGGGTATTCGGACTACCTTTATGCCAAGCAGGAGTTCTGTTATACAGGCACAAAGTGTCCTAGTTTTGAAGATGCATTTACCGCTGCAAATTTTACAAGAGATAAGGTAATCTGTGCCCGAGCTCATGCAATAAGTCTTTACCAATAGAGCATATTATTCACTATTGTGCTCCACATAGACGGTCATTTCAGCAGTTGCTAATTCGGTGGTATTTCAAAGTAAGCAGTGGCCATTCTGTCAGCCCGATGAATAACCATTTCTATGACTATGATATTGTAGCTTTCCACGATAGGTTTAGAAAAGATAACGCGGCCTTAAACGATAGTTCTCGCAAAGCAAGGTATCCTTTATATTGCTCTTCTTTTCAAACGAAGTGAAGAAAGCACAAAATCCTGTTAGTATGCCTCAAAGATATAGATGGTGATTTCATGAGTATGCACTATATTTCTTGTAAAGCAAAATAAGTCGGCAAAGCGAATGGGGCATTCCGTGTCCGTGTAGAAAAATACCTGTTCAGTAAGCTTAAGGCTAATCCAAATATCCTCTGGGTCCACATAGGAAGAAGACATAACGGAGAGAATCTTAAATCAAAATTCACCATCTTCGAACAAGAATATAAAACTTCAGCACATAATATTCTTCAATAATACAGATGAATGCCATGAATCCGAATTTGAATCGCAGGAAGGAATACCTCGTTACCACACGTGACTTAGTATAAAAATGAAAGGTGCATGGCAATCCATATGAAAGTTGCACCGTTAGTCTACACCTCGACAACTCTATGGAAGACTCATAAAAGCGGTCAGTATATGGGAAAGTTGTTATTGCTCTTGATGAGATTTTAATCTAGATCGGTGATTTTTTTCAGTTAGACTATTGTAGTTGATTGGCTGAATAGGTTGTGGACTACTTGATCTTTCCAGACTTCAAAGGAAGAAGAACCACCGAAACGTCACCTCTCAGAATAAATATAATTATAACAACTCATGATGTAGCTCAGGAAGGAAAATTGAGATATTGAACAACGTTGAGATGAGTTTTAGGAGTTAAGTCGGTCAGAGGCGTTAACTGCGAAGTATTCAAAATATTTTTTTTTCTGGAAAAATAGGATATATTGAAAACGCTCAACCACTTTGATATCGAATAAGTAATTGTATAATTCTATTTAATACAACCACAGATATCGTTCCGAAATTCGTCGTTATAATATCTTTACAACGTTTAGTGACAGCAAACTTTTACGGAAAAATTAGAAAAACACCCAGTGATATCTGTTGAAAATTGAAACATTTTCAAAATGACAAGCAAAAAACTATAAAACAAACCAGCTGATCTCTCATATAAATTGAACAACAGCGGCGTACCTTATCGCCCCTGCTCACAAATATTCTACGTCCAATAAGCTGTCTCAAATGTCAATGGAATGGCAGATCGGAATTGAAAAACACACTTGAATTGGGGATTGTGCAGTGCGGTGGTTAGAGAAGCAACACAACACACATGTGGTTGTTGGCTCGATCTCGCCTCTCAGTCTTACGAAGTCCCCCTATTCTTTAGTTATAAAAATGAGACCACGATCGTATTGAAGGACAGCGGAACTAATTTTATATACTGGTAGGCCATCATGAGTCATTGTAAAAGCCAGATATGCATTCAAGCCCGCTAACGATGCTTAACGAAGTCGTAAGGATAATGCATCCCTAAGGGTTTGATAGATACCGAGAGTCTAATCTTTTTCAGCTTTACATTTGATGAGATAATTCTGATATAATAGTAATAGAAAAAAGCTACAGAATTTGAAAACTAACACAATTTGGTCACAGTTTAGCGCTCAAAAATTGTAAAGTTTGAAGAAAAATGGACGTGTGAAATAAGTGAGCCACTAAGATGATCTACAGTCTTCCACGGAATATTCTTGAAGCAAAAAGTTTATTGACCAGAAAGAATCACCTAAGTTGAGATTAAAGCTCAACATTTGTATTCGGGTGCGCAAATGAGTACAAATCAATGCCGCAACTGGTTAACGTAGTGGTAGGGAACCTAATGACAAGACAATAAGTCCCTAAGGACAATTAACAAGACAAGGCAAATGTTTCAGGTGACGAACTGAGGACACTCGCTCTACCATGCTCACACTAGCACTCTTTTTCAAAACAATTTCACACATACTTCCAGACAGCAGTTGGACAAAATAAACATTAAATCAAATATCAAATCAATTGTGTCGGAAAACCATTCTAGAACACATATCATCTGAAAAACAACACAACAGTCAACTGAGTAATAATTCCTAAACTGGCATCACATTTTCAAAACAACAACATTACTCAATATAGGTGTACAAATATGACTGCGACGCCTTTCTTTTTTGATTAAGTGATAGAAAGAATAAAGATTTGCAAGTTGCTTTTCTAATCTAAAGTGGTAGAAGCACTACTTTTTATATCTCTTTTACATACAAAATATATTATTTGACTGGTTCATAAGCTTTGCAGATGACGACTTTTGCATCCACAAAACGCTATTTTTTGAAATTTGCAAATTTTGTAATGCGAATTTCGTGATTTTAAGTGATAACCTAGCGGAAGAATAAGGCGGGTGAGGTAAAACTCTCATAAGTTCCCACCTCAGCTCTTTTATGACGTTTTGGATCGGCGTTTGCAACATGAAGTCGACCGTTATGACGCAGTAAAATTGCAAAGTTTATGTCGATTTGGTTTTCCAATTTGATTTTTGCGGTTAAATTGCATGACCTCGGTATCCTTCAGTTGCAGATTTCCGAACAATCTGGCATAAAACGTGGATGTACTTACTTCAAGATAGAGCTCTTCTAAAGCTGCGTTAATATTGTGCGTCGCTTCACTAGTTTTTCCCCTAATCTCCGTTCGCGCATGAGTAGCAAGCAAATTTGTTCCCACGACATCTCCATCTTGAAGTATAGACAAGTTGTATACATAAATGTTCGCAAGAAAATGCGCAATTGAACAATACCTGCACCAAATAATTTTAACCACGTTTAGTTAATAAATCTACAAAGTGGAGTCAAAAAGGCGTTTTTTGGCTACAAAAGTCGTCATCTTCAAGGTCCTCTTAAAACCGTCGTATAAATATTTTACATGTAGAAACATAAATAGCGCTTTGACGCACTATTAAACGATTGAAAAAATTTACATATCTTCATTATTACTATTGTTACAGCAGAAAGAAAAACTGTGAAGTCATCTTTGTACCTAATATATATAAAAAATTGGTGGTGTTAACCTTACAGTTCTCCGGAAAGATTCGAGAAATTCGGTCAGGTTTTCATCTAACAGTTAACTGTTAAGTCATGACGTGAACATGAATTAAAAACTGTTTTTTTTTTTACGATTTTGTGTTCAAAAGCAAAGGTTATCTGGGGATCGGTGTCGAACAGCTTACACGCACGC